AGCAACACTCTACGACGATTTGATGCCATCCGTTACATACGGAGCAGAGACTTCCCACCCGCCGCTCTCTATGTCCTTCATCGCATAGCCACACACCTGCCTGAACCACACCACCAGGCATGCCTTTCCGCCATTCGATCCAGTTTACGATTCCGGGGCCTCATTCCACCTGGCCCCTCCAGACCGATGCTTGCACCCTTCCTCGCCCAGCCTTCTTTCCGATCCCTGCTTTTAACCCAACTTCGCGGGTTTATTCGATCTACCACTCGCAGCGCTTTACCGTTTCACATGGCACAACCACGCATTGTCTTCAAGGCACATCGGAGACTCTCCAGTGCCTTGTTCTCACATCTCCAGGCAGCAAAAACCTGGAGTCTCGGTGAAACGACCTGCACATGCACCGACCTCGCCCAACGACACCCATCCCTCCCGAAGCATGACGGACACCTTCTTTTCTCCGGTGCAGACACCCATGAGCTGTTCGACTCCGACACTGCCCACATGCTATCCGGATCGATGCGCAACTCCTTCTTTCCTCCACGAGGGGTCTTGATGAGTCGCCTGACCCAGGCATTTCAACACTGGGCCAGGACCAACAACCTACCCGCGCTCGACCCATCAACCCTCACTATATTGTCGAATTCCATTTCGACCTCCACCTTTCACACACATCACAGTACTTTCTTCACGCCCACGTCCAACGGGCTCTGCATACCCTGGAACCCCTTGTCCGCCATTGCGAAGACCATGCGGACTCCCGACTCATGATCTATTGTCCCGTTCTCTACGGCAAGATGTTGGAAGCCACGTTTGCGGACCCTGCCATCTTCGCCCCTCTGCCGGTCCCTGCCATTGAGATCCACCAACGACTACGAGAAACCATTGTCACCAGATTCCGCGGCCGCTATCCTTGGGCCGTGACCGGATTCGGAAGGCCAGCCAACGCCTACATCCTCCCGAAGAGGAAGAAGAACTGGACCACTGCCCGGCCCATCATCAGTTTCATTGGCGCCTTCTTCCGACCCATGCTCGACGCTCTCGCCAAGCTCCTCCACAGCATGGTGGCCACGGCTTGCCCTGACGCGTTTTCAGGTGGCGACCTCTTTGAACTCATGCGGTCCTTGCACGAGTTTCTAAGCCTCGGCTACACCCATTTGGACTACCGAAACCAGGACCTTTCCGGTTTTTTCACCTCCATCGACAAAGACCGCTTCTTAGCAGCCTGGCGACTACTGCTAACCTGGTACCGACAACGACAACCACACTCCTCTACCACACACCTCACAGTGGACACACTCGACACCTCTGCCATCACCCGCGTCTACAACGGACGCCGTCGCCGACACAAACCCACACAACGCACCCTGTGGCTCGACGACATCCCCGAGATCATTCAGGCCACCCTTGACATGCAGATCTTCTCTGTCGGCCTTCGTTCATTCAGGCAAACACGTGGGGCGCCGATGGGATCCCCCGCGTCCCCAGCTCTCTGTTTGATGGTGATCGCGGTCGCCGAACAATGTTGGACCAACATTCACACCACATCGGGACTTCGCTCCGTTGAAGATACTCTCCTGCTCCGCTACGTGGACAACAGACTCGTGATCGCAACCCCCAGGTGGCTCTCGACTCCGGCAGCCAACATACTGTGCGACGAACACTTCTATGGAGGAGACATCTTCCTGGAAACAGAAGCCGCCCTGGACGTCTTGGGGTTCCGACTGAACCTCACAAGCAGCACCATCTCCTTCATTCCCTCGCATGAGAAGCACAACATGCTCTCCGTCAAGTCAGCCGCACCAATGATACATAAGGAATCTGGATATTATTCCAGACGCACGCTGATCAGCCGAGTTTCCTTTCCTGAATTTCAGCGAGATCAGGATCTTGCAATGTTGAAGAGGTTGTACCTCCAACACGGTTTCACCTTACAAAGAGAAGAAAAACCGTCCTTTGCGAAACCACACCGGTTTTCTTCTCTGCCTTTGCTTCCTGACAGATTTGACCTGATTTTCGTGCCGCAGCTGTTTGACCGTTTGACCAAAATCCGTTGCGAGCATGGATACCAACACAGCACGCCAGCTGCTCCAAGACATCGAACTCATCCTTGGCATTGCCCAACAAGGCATCGCCACCATCCGCGAGTTCACTGAGAGTCCGACTGCCGAACCTGATTTGGCACCGGAGGCCACGCTCAACCCCGCCATTGTGGACCTGACCAACTCACCACCAACACCCCTCCTGGCCCCCCTCGAGGACCTCTTTGAGCCACCTCCTGATGCTCCAGATGAACACCTTCCCACTGATCATGACGAACAAGTCCCTGATCATTGGGCTCCGCCCACTCCTCCTCCGTCTTCTCCCGACAAAAAACGAGCTCGCCGCACACGTGATTTGGCCTCCTCACGATCTACGGCATCCAAAACCTGCTCGTGGACCAAGCGAAGCTACCACATCGACCAGGACTGATGCCTCTACTGAGGCCGAACCTGAAGCCTCGCAGCCTTGGACTGAGGGAGAGATTGAACTCCTCCGTTCCCTTAAGACCAATTCCAAAGCCTAGTATGCGTGGTCAGTCATCGCCACAAGACTTTCTCGCACAATTGATGCTTGCAAGACTCAATGGGCCTTGCACAAGTGATGTCGCCCCAGTTGGGGCTCCGTGTGTGTGAAGCGTCCTGGAGCACGGACGGAAATTCCACATTGCAGGGGGACCAGGCGTCTTGCTGCTGACCTGGTCTAACAAAGCTAGGCAGCAAGACGGGATACCGGAATTGGCCATTCCGGCGTACCTGCCATCCTTTCGTGACCTAATGTGTTTCCTCGGTTTACCACTGTTTGCTTCATGTTCGGTTTCGATGATGTGACATTTGCACTGCAGATTGATTTTTCATGCCCTTTCAGTACAATCGCGTGTCTGCAAGAGCAGCCTCTCGAGATAAGTGTGTGCGCGCGCGACTTTGCACTTGTGCTGTTCTTTGGCTGTTGCACTTTGTGTGTGGTATGTTGTGGCTGCGTGGTGCGTACATGTGTTTGTGCGCGTGCTGCGAAACAATGTGTTGCTGGACGTGTGTCTGCTTGTGCTTGCGTGCTTGTGCTTGCATATAGCGCAGCGTTCCAAGCTTCGTCACACCAACAGGTGCTCAATGAATGTCTTGGACCCTTTCAACTGAAAGTCGCCGCGCATTGGCAATCTTCAGACATCGTCTAATGTGTCATATGGCCATGCATCAAAAACCCGTACCCCCAGTGAACATCCCAATCCCCACTAAAATAAACCAAAATGGGTGGTGCACCTATCCAAAAATGGTACCATTGGTCTTGAACCACCGCCATATTTGCTCTCTTGGGCATGGGCTGATTGGCGGACCTGCCGAGCCCCCCTTGCCGAGACCTCAGTGCTCAGTTCTGTGGGCTCCTTTTCCAACCCATTCAGGCACGGAGCAGTTCTGCAAAGACTGGGCGAGAACAAATGCACAAGGGCGTGGCATTTCCTGCATCTGGCCGTTTTTTCCCTCAAGCTCGGCAAAAGTAAAACCTCCGGCATTGCGGGCCTCAGTGTAATTGCTGCGCCGTCATTGAACTTCTCGCTACTTGAAATGCGCAAAGGACGGTTTACACTGCTCGCTCGCTCACTGTACTGTCCTGAATAGGCCGGTTCTTAAACAAACCCTGACAACAGCTGACTCTTTGCAGTGCAACGAAGTGTGGGAGCCAAAACAGCAACTGGACTCACATCCTGGTTCATAAGTGGCACTAGCTCATTCTCGAGGTTGGGAACGCCTAAGGGGCACTGCGTCAGCCGAACAGGTCCTAAATGGCACAAGAGTCGGCCATGCGTGGCGACCACTTGTGCCTGCAGCGCAAGTAGCCGCGGAAGACTCTCAAAATCCTTTGACATCCTGCCCATCTTTTCTGGGACATAGATTTAACACTGGCTTGAAGGTCCTTGAAGCCTCTCACTGGGCTTTGTCGTGCAGCATGTACCTAGTTCCAGTACCACTGAACCAGTGCCCCAACAGCAGCCACCGCCACCACCACTAACGAACCTGCGAAAGGGTTGTGCGCGTGATCACACGAGTAGAGCACCGCGGTTGAGTGGACGAAAAGCAGGCTGCCCATGATACCAAAGGCAAGCCTTAGATGTGCTGCGGCCAGCACCACCACTTGACAACACGCGTAGACACACACACACACACACACACAACCCCACGCCACGTGATGCTGCGCCTTGCCACGCGCAAGGCTTTCCAAACCCAAGGATGTTGAAAGCTGATCGAGAGAGCCACGCTAGAACCCTAGCCGAGGATCACAAAGAGCAGCTTACTCCAGCCACGGCTGTGAAACGCCACCGTCAAAGCCACCGGTATGCCTCAGCTGCGCCCCCTCCCACTTCCAGTGGCCCAACGCGTGACATCAATGACCCTCCGAAAGGCCGTAGCTATCTTCCTCCCCTTGGCTTGGAAACACCCGGTTTCCGGAGCTTGCGCGCCCAGCTGCCGATTGTCAGGGTCGCAAAGTCCTCCCAGCCCGCGTATTCTTGGCCCACCAGCTCTCCAATGGGCTGATTCAACAGGTCGATGACCAGGGCCACCACTAGGAACCCCAGCAAGGCGCCCAGGAAAATATCCAGGAGTTCCCTCACAGAAAGACATGCACGCGCCAAGTGAGGCCCCTCCCTGATATCTCCTGATCAGCTGAGGCTCTCTATGAAGTACTTGAGCTTGTACGCCCATGCACGCGCCAGGATGGCCCACACAATGCAGCAAGCAGTGACGACCTCTGTGCAACATGGCCATGGGTTAAAAGCCCGTACCCCCAGTGAACATCCCAATCCCCACTAAAACAGACTAAAATGGGTGCTGCACCTACCCTAAAATGGGATCCTATTGGTTTTGACCCACGGCCACATGCCGCAATCCAGGAGCTCTGCCGGACCTTGCCTCGGACCTTTTTCCCGCCCGAGCAGATCACAGATGAGCCGAGGCCCTGGCCACCTTCTTCCCCCACTGCTGGCTCGCGCCATGAATCCAGGGAGCTCCGATGGTGGCCTCCACTGCAAAGGCCAAGAGGCAGAGGAAGACGCCGAAGGCCCGGCTGTATCTGAGGGGCTTCTGAGCCTTTTCTGGAAACTCTGGGCCCAGGGGCCTTTGGCGTTTGGCGGCAAGAACTGGCGAAAAAGGATGAAGGACAACACGGAAATGGCCGTGGGTCAACATCCAAATCGTAACTGCAGTGAACACCCCAATCCCCACTAAAATAGACTAAAATGGGTGGTGCACCTACCCCCTCCGCCCCTTTCGCCCCCCTTTCCCCACATGCGGTAGCCGAAGAAGGCCACCGCGAGGCCCAAGACGCAGAGCACCCCGTAGAAGAGCACCACCCAAACGTCGCAATGCGGATACGTCGGACCAAAGATGTCGGTGATCTGCATGGCCAATGGACGCGGGTGATCTGTACGGGATTGGGAACGGGATGGGCTTCGGTTGAGCTCCCGCACCGAAGAAGCTGCACGCAAGCCAGCAGACCTGTTCCTGACTTTGAGCTGTTTTTGCTGCAGGCAAACGAAGAACTCGCGGGCCAAAAAGCCAAAACGTGCTCGATCCGGGGCGCCCACTTTTTGGCACATTGACCGCCGTAATATGTTGAATTCGGTTGGCTGCACTAAGCAGCCAGAAGGCACGCTACACAAAGGTCCGACTGGCCACAGAGTGTTAGCTATCACGATGCAGCTGCATTCATTCAAGCAACAAGGCTGTGAGCACGCCATGTGGACTTGCCACTTAGGCTGGGAACGTGCTCACAGCCTCAATTCATGGGTTGCGGCGCGGCTAAGTCAGATTCAAACAAAATGCCTCTGACCTGAGCCGAGGCACACAAAGCAGAAACTTCGTTGTGAAGTCATCCTGCTCTTCCTTAACTTCAGAGCGCCACAAACTTGGGCCGCTAAGGCTGGCCAGCCTCAGCATGGATCTGCCTGCGCAAGGGCGAGTCATCTCTTGAGATTGCATCCGACGCCGAGCGATCCAACGCTATGTGGGGATGGGTCACAATTAAACCCCCAGCGGACCGCAGGTTTTAGTCTTTGGTTCCATTTACCAGGGTTCCATTTTGGGTACCTATTTTTGCCCCACAGCCATGTCTCCCGCCTCTGCTTCTTCGGCGGCCTTGGTCTGAAGGCGAACTGCACAGCCAGGCCCGAGCACAGCAGCAGCACCACCAGCAAGTCCCTGAGCTTCCGCGCAGCTTGGCTAGCGGTCTGACGGAACCCTAAAGAGCCGTTGCCAGTGGCCTTCTGAGCTGTGTGGGGCGTTCGGAACGGAACCATTCCACGCTGACAAGGAACTCTTTGCTTGCCTTTGCGAATGCAAACATGTTGGGGTCAACGGAAAGGCGCCACTCCCGAAACACCAAAGAGCGCATGCTGCCAGAATACCAAACGCAAACTCCAACAGCATCAGGCCGAGCTTGCCAGACTGTGGAAGCAAAACGAGCAAGAAATGCAAAGCATTGAACTTCAGATGTTCTTTGGCGGCGCAGGCTTAGCTTCAACTGGCCGTTTTCAGAAACTGGGCAGTGAAAAAACAAATTCACCGGATACAAACCAACGGCTTGGCAAATTGTTGCAGGTGCGACAGACAAGAACTCGAACACGTTGCCTGCGACGGACATGCCCTATTGCATCTGACCGGTCTTTCCCAACACTCTGATGGACCGGCGGCACCTGGGAGTCTTCCTACATGACTAGGATATCAATGACAACTGGCAGCTCGGAGTTGTTTGTGCTTTGCGAGAGTTCTCGCATGAGAAAAAAAGGGCGCCCCTCGCATCTCTGAGTGTCGAAAGCGAATCAAAGAACTCTTCAGAGCAGTTTACTACCGTGCCAGTCAAATGCAAAAGCCGACCTTTGCGAAGACTGCGATAAAAAGATTGAACAACGCCTTGAGACAAGGCCTCCTTCTGAGAAGGTCTCTTCGCGCGAGATAGCCGGTTCTAATCAGCAGCGGCTGGTTCAATAATCGCGGCAGAGCGTCTGGAGAAATGACTTGGACATGATGCTGTAAAAGTTGGTGCAGGAAAGCAGTGCGTCCACCTCGGAAGTCAAATTTGCATTACCTGCCCACACACCCGCGCAGACCATAGACACGCACAGACACAAACCCAAACACAGACACAAACACGAGACACCAAACAACAGACAACCAACAACAAACAACCAACAGCCAACAACCAACAACCAACAACCAACAACCAGAACCAACAACCAACCACCAGCACAAGATCAAAAAAAAAGGAACAGGAACAAGGACAAAACAACAAAAAACAACTACCAATGCAACAAATGCAACAACAAAAACGCAAAAACCACAGCAGCAGCAACCACCACCACTACCACCACAACCACAACCACAACCACAACAACAACAACAACCACCAACAACAACCAACAACAACCAACAACCAACAACCAACAACCAACAACCAACAACCAACAACCAA